CCCCAAAACCCCAAAACCCCAAAACCCCAAAACCCCAAAACCCCAAAACCCCAAAACCCCATATGGCCAATTTCATACTCTATTAATTTTATCTGAAATGGAAACTACCCAGGCTAGCTTCCCATCTGGATTTCTGACCGGAGCTATTACTGCTATTGGCGTTAAGATGGCTATTTATCCTAATGAAAGAGTCAAGTTGCTATATGTTTTAAGTCACCTGAAGGAGTCAATGTATGGTGGCAAAGCATTCAAAGGAAGAATGGACTGTTTGACACAAACTGTTAAGTTTAAAGGGCTTTTTGGCTTGTGGCAAGAAAGTGCTAATATAGTGCTGCTGTATTCTGCCCATCATGCTTTTAATTTTGGGTTTAAAGAACAGTTTGGTAAATGGTTTAGTAATCGCGATTCAAGTTCTATGATGAAGCTTCTGACTGTGAATATGATTTCGGGAAGTATGGCTGGACTTGCAACATTATGAATTGAGCACCCTGTGATGCTTGCAAGATTAGCTCACAGTAGACAGTTCGGAGTAAGAAAGCCAATCCAATTAAGGAATCTAAAAAATTACATAATTCAGAGATTCATTGATAAAAGGCCCTTAAAGCTTTATAAAGGAATATGGACTTATGTTCCCCATATTTTTGTGTATAGAGGAGCATATTTTGGCTTATATGATGCTGGCTTTGCTTATTTCTATGGATCTCAGAAAAATACAAATTTCATAAAATTATGGTTGTTAGCTTTACTAACAACAAGTATTGCAACCTTAATCTCCCACCCTTTAGCCTCTGTAAGAAGTTTGCTCCTAATGGAACTCAAATATCCAGACAAGAAATACAAAGGAACTATCGACTGAATCATCAATCTTTTCAAAAAAGGGCACCAGAGGGCCCTAATCATTGGCTGGCAGCCAGCTCTCTTCTCGTGTACAAGCAGTGCACTTCTCCTAGCCTGTTACTCCAAACTACCCCTCTTAACCCCCTAAAACCTCATTCAAGCACCTTTCCGCCCTCAGGGGTTTTGGGGTTTTGGGGTTTTGGGGTTTTGGGG